ACCAAACACACTCTGACGATGGAAGCGAGGTTTTCGAAACGTCAGTTCAAATGTACTTTGGTCCATGAACCCGCCCCCTCTTCTTCTTCCTTACCTGTGGGAGAAGCTGAGCGCGATTATGAATATTTTATTTGTTTCGCAATTAAGCATTCAGAAATAATGCACTTTTAAAAGTTAAAGTTGAATATTCATAACAAGATTTTAAAAATTCCGAAGAGAGTCTATTGGCTGACGGAGGATTTTCCTTTAGTGGAAGCAAGTGTGTATTAAACTGGGTGGGAATCAAGCAAGCCGGCTGCAGAAAACACAATAATTGGGCGTCAGCTTTTCGGATTATTTATATCAGTACAATGGCAACTCGATTAAAGAGTTTTATCCGTTCCGGCACCGAGCTTGTCATTTGAAACATTCGTCTTGCGAAAAGTATCCAATCACACTGCATCACTTTACTGATTAGCTGCAGACGACCGAGGACCCTCAGAGCAAGACTCAACGTCGGACACAGGCACATATACGCACTGAAAGCTCGTTAACGGAGCGGAGGCTCCTCGTCATTTAAAATGCTCCTAGATGGAACAGCTCGTCACTCGAGGCTATACCATCCTACTTCTTTGCCAAAGGAAGCATTTTCGCATTGGCTAGACACAATATTATGGACTGTTGAATCATAGTTAATTGGATATCACATTATTTTGCATAGGATCTAGCGAAACCATGCTGTTGCGTCAAGATTGATTACCCGAAGAGTAAACTTACTGGGCTATAGCATCTTCGATACGATCCTGTTTTCGAAGCTCCTGAGCGTATGCATAATGGGTATTTCGAAGACGTACGCGGTTTCGCTTCTCTGCAATCTGGACGGCTTCCTCCCAGTGTCCGAGGGTCTGGTGAAGACGAGCCACGAGATCCCATCGTGCGCACTCAATAAAGATACGTTCAGCCTCCTCCTTCAGTACACATAAATGAGAGGTAAAAACGGTTAAAACTTGCATCGAATACGATCTTCATCCATATTGTTTCAAGAAAACGAATGAGTGCGCATGGGTCCTAAGAATTTGTAAATGTGATCAAAACTGCCAAACAATAAGGATTGACGCTATTTAATATACAAGCGAACACACGAGTCTCAGGAAGTAATCGAGAAGAAGATCCGATCGTTGGACAACATTTTTATTGACTTGACGTTCCGACATCCGTCGCAGGTTCTTCATCAGAAACATGAGCAAAAAGCGGTGGCAGAAGCGTTTAACACATGCACAGGATGTTGCAGTAGTTAAAGGACAAGTCATTGCTGTACAGGTGCAACAATTAACGATAATTCCCTCTTGTGTGTTGACAGCTTGACTACTGGCATGCGGGCCCTGACTTGCTGAAGTTCCATCACGCGTGGTGGAATTAGATGTGACGGTTGCTCGGCCATCTGGTTCCCTTGTGTTGACGTAAGGTGAGGCGGTGGCCTGTGAGTTCTCCAAGCGACAACTTGCATTGGCCAAATTGAGCCTCAGGATCGAATATTTATTGGTAAAGTCGTTGGACTGGTTTATGGACT